AGCAGAGCCCGAGTTTCCGCACATTCAGCGGCCGCCTGTGGAGGGGCAGCCACTGGCAGCACAGTCAACCCGCACAGCAAGGATGGGCGACCCTCCCAAGGGTAGCCTTGCATCCTTGCCTCCTCGGTCCATCCTTGACCACTCTCGTTGGCCGCGCCCCCCTCGACAAGCTTCGAAGTGGGCGACCAAGGCTCCTGCGTCGGGCCCTCCTCCCTCCTCCCTCCTCCTCCTCCCTCCTCCTCCTCCTCCTCCTCCTCCTCCTCCTCCTCTCCCCCCCTCCTCCTCCCCCTCCTCCTCTCCTCCTCCTCCTCCTCCTCCTCCTCCTCCTCCCCTCCTCCCTCCTCCTCCTCCTCCTCCTCCTCCTCCTCCTCCTCCCTCCTCCTCCTCCTCCTCCCTCCTCTTCCTCCTCCTCCTCCTCCTCCTCCCCCTGCGTCCTTCTCGCGCATCCTTATGATACGGGCCGACTGCACAGGCCCCAGGCGCGCCACGCTGGGGAAGGGCGCGCCACGCGCACCGGGCGCGCCGGGCGCGCACCGGGCGCGCCTCGTGGGCCCCTGGCGTGCCGGGCGCGCCCGGTGCGCCAGCTGCGCCGCGTGGTCCACGCTCGCCACGGATGCCGCATGCGCCAGCCGCGCCGGGTGCGCCACGTTCCGGGCACGCACAGGGAGGAGGAGAAAGAGGAGGAGGAGGAGGAGGAGGAGGAGGAGGAAGAGGAGGCGGAGGAGGAGGAGGACGAGGAGGCGGAGGAGGAGGAGGAGGAGGAGGAGGAGGAGGAGGGGAATGGGGAGGGGAGGGGGGGAGAGGGGGAGGGCACATCGGGTAACATGTCGGACCCCACCATCCTTGTCGAAATCCAGGGCACCATCGCGGCGGAGTGGCCATCATGATGCCCACCGGGCCTTCACACAGCAGGGAACATGCCAGCACCCCCGCCGTCCCTGTTAACAACCAGTGCAAAGTGATCGCGGGGCACCCGCGCGTGATCCAGATTTCCCGCGAAGTGCACATTGTTTGGTTTTGATAACAGGGATGGTGGCACTGCGTACGCCAGGCCATATGCTGACACGCCCGCCGTCCCTGTCACAAAACAAACCAAAGAGCTCGCGGCCCCCCCGAACATGACCCAAGATTTGGCCGCCAAGCGCATGTACATTTCTTTTGCGACAGGCGTGGTGGAGGGGGCCTCATGGTCCTGGGCTTGTCACCGGTCGGGTGGGGGGGTGGCGGTGTGTTCTAATAAGGAGCAGTGAGACACCCCTCCCCGTAGGGAAAGAAGGGGAACATGGAAGAGGAAACTCTCGAAACCACTCACGCCCAGAGGGCGAGTGGGATTACAAGGAATTGCATGGATACGCATGACGTGCGTGGCATAGGGGAAAGTTGGATACACACTCGGCCGCGTGTCGTTCCAGCACTCGCCCCTTCTATGGCGGGGTACGCTTGGCTTCCGCATGTGTGTCCAGCACGTGATCTCCAGATGTTCCACATGTGATTCCAGCCATGTGTACTTCCAGCCTCCCGGTAACCTTCGGGGGTCCGCGCAAGTCTCCTGGATCGGCGCCGAACCCCCCCGGCCGCAGCCCCTGGCGCGCTCCGAAGGAACAGCACACACCCATACCTGTAGGTGGGAAGGAGGGGACTATGGGTACATGTTGTCGGATGGGGGTGCGGTAGGTTCGCGTCGTGTCGACTGGAGGCGGCCCCGCCGCCAGCGCTTAAAGTTGAACGCCGCCAGGGACCCGAAATCGGCCCATTGTTGGAAGATGCAGCGTTCTAGAAACGGCCGATCGTTCAAGGCTGAACGATCCCCGCTGTGTCAGGAGCCAGCGGTGGGGCCGACGCGACGAGGACCTGCCGCACGGGCTCGAACAGGAGCCCCCGCCGCGGACTGACAGCCCGCACCTGCTCGCTCGTCCAGGGAGGGGTGCCTGGCGCCAGTCGACGGCAGCTGCGCGCACCGCCGAACGCCAGAGCGAGGGGACCTTACGGTAGGTTTGCGTCGTGTCGACCGGCGGCGACCCCAGCGCGGGCGTTCAAGGTTGAACGCCGGCGGCGGCCCAGAATCGGTCGATGTTGAACGATTGGACGTTGCGGAAATGGCCGATCGTTCAAGGTTGAACGATCCCCGCGGTGTCAGGAACCAACGCCGGGGTCGACACGACACGAACCTGCCGTAGCAGTCTTGCGCTCTCCCGCCGCGCGCGTGGCTGGAGGGAGGCCTCGGCCTCTGGGAGACGACACGTGTGGGCTACTCGTGGGGGCCGCCCGTGGGCGACGAGCGATCAGAACGCACCCATACCCATAGGGGGACGGAATGAGCTATGCAAGGGCTCCCCCGAGGGCGCGAAGTTATTCGCGCTTCGCGCTTCGCGGTCCTCGTTTCTCCTCCCCCTCCTCCTCGTCCTCCTATTCTCCCTCTGGGGGGGGCGGCGCGAGGGCGCGAAGTTATTCGCGCTTCGCGCTTCGCGCAGCGCGAAGCGCGAACTTAGGAGCCCTTGGCTATGGGTGCGTGTTGTCGGAAGCCCCCCCAGGGGTCCGACAACCCGCACCCATGCCCATGGCCAGTCATTCTTCCTCCGACCTCGCTATGGGTACGGGTGTGTGTTGTTCGTTCGTCAGTGGGGGCTACACGTAGAGGCTGGACCGTGGGGCTACGATCCATCCGCATAGTAAGATGATGGGCCAATCCTCCACCACCACCACCATAGGCAGGACGGGTGAGGTCCTCCTTCAATCCTCTTCCTTGAAGTAAGTTCTCCCTGTCGGACCCCGAGGCCAGTTTTTAGGGCGGGCCGGGCGTTTCGCCAGAGACTTCCTCACCAGTTATGGTTCTGAAGTTCTAGAATTGGCCACAACTTCACAGATGGAGGGCGGGTGGTTTTCAAAATGTGGCTCTCGCCTGGGCGCCGCGCACATTCGTTCTAAACATATGCAAGAGTGGCACGGATTGAAGACATTCCGTTTCCAGAATGTGTCTCTCGCCTTAGCGCCGCGCGCACTCGTTTTGAAATTTTCAAGAGCTTCACGGATTGAGGCAACCCCTATTCAAAATGTGGCTCTCGGCCCAGCGCCGCGTACATTCGTTTTAAGATATTGCCAGGGTGTCACGGATTGAGGGCGCTTCCTTTTCAAAATGTGGTTCTCGCTTGAGCGTCGCGCGCATTCGTTGTCACAATTTGGAAGAGTTTTACGGATTCCCACGGTCAACGTACCAGAGACGGCGTTTTGGCAGGATTCTGGCTCTTGCGGGTGCAACAGTTACATCGGTTGGCGGTGATGAAATCCCAAGAACGGCTTGCTGGCACGATGCAGGATCGTCAAGGCACAACAGTCAGGTTGATCCGTGGCGTAGGAATCCCGAGAACAAAGGTTTGGCATGGCTTCCGGGTCTTCAAACGGTTGTCTCCCAACGAGGCAGATCCCTGAATGGAAAAAATGAGCCGTTGTAGGGGCCTGCGAAGAGAGAGCTTGGAGGGAGGGTGTAGTCCAATATCGTTGATGGCTCTTGGGTTTACAGTGGTTCTCCTCCTCCTCCTCCTCGCTCTCCTCGTTGATGGCTCAAGAATACTCCCAATCATACTCCCAAGCCCCAAGCAGTCAACAAACATCCCCTTTATTCGCTGCATCTGCGCCATGGCATGGGCCAAAACGCAATGGACTGAAACGTCGAGCAGCAAAGATGTGTGTTTGGAAAGGCGATGACAATGCAGACCGGACCCGCGACGGGAACGTAGAAATTTGGCAGAAGTGATCGTAGAAAAGCTTGACGCGATATTGAATGACCAGTCTGATATCATCCGCCGGCTGGCGAAATCGAGTCCCACACGTTGCGTGCAGAAGTGCAGGCCAATCAGTACTGTCAGCACACTGTTCCAATTGAACCGATCGTAGCACTGTAAGGGACAACTTGGTATGTTGAGGTACCTCGACTTGAGTACGTCGAGAAGGTTGTCGAAACTCCCAAAGTTGTACTTGTGGAAAAGATTGCAGAGGAGACACTTATCATGCCAAGCGCTCGTGATCATGCCATCAGTTGTGAGATGAGTCGAGACGGCGCCCCTTCTTGTGAGGCGAGTCGCGTATCTAGTGAAGATGAAACGATCAAGGAGGCGGAGGCCGCAATTGACGTTCGAATCTCGAGTATCCAGTCTAAAAATCGATCTGTTCATCGATGTGAAGGACGACGCGCGTTACATAGGTCTGGTGCTGGATACGTTTGGGAACCAAATTGTGGAATACAAATCAACATTCCCCAATCCAAACAGCACGGCACGAAGTTATCGAGGTTTGAAGTAAAGCAGCGTTATGGGTCCATGCATCGATATTGTTTCTGGAGGAGCGTATGCGACAAATTTCACACTGGGAGTGGAGACCCGCTGAGCAAGACAGACGAGTTTTGGAATCGGTGTGCGAAGTACACCAACTATGGCCGATGTGATGGTCTTTGCACGAACGTATGTGAGGCAAACGCGCCCCTTCTCTTTACGACGGTGCATGTTCCAATTCATGGGAGTAATTGTACTAGTGGAGCCAATAGTACACAATCGAGATCGTAAAGTGACCATGTGCTGCGACATCTGAGTTTCGTCGCTCCGGCGCCCCCGCCGAGCTCTTAGAGGGCCGACCCCCATGGCGCACATCGGCTCCCGTCCTGTCCTGTCCTGTCGTCCGTCTCCTACATGTGGTATTGGTGGTGGAAAATCGGCCCATCATAAGGACGAGCGACTGTCGAAACTTACCCTTGCATCCTTCCTCTTCGGCCCATTTTTGGCTGCTTTCGCTGGCCGCGCCCTGCTCGCACAGTGTCGACGTGGCCCCCAAAGGCCCCTGCATCTTCTCGCGTGCCCGTGCCATGCGCGTTGATTGCACACATAGGGGCTACACTACACATGGGGATTCACTTGGGGGCTACACTTGGGGACGTTTCGCCCGCGCCGCCACCCCTTCACTATCATCCGCAAGGGCGGGGTGCTGCGTCTGTTTGCTCCCCTCTTCTGGAGGTGGAGGCCCCCTGCGACCGTCGCCGAGGGCGTCGCGGAACGGCTTCGCCGCCGCCCCACCAGGCAGGCTGTGGAGCGGATCGTCAGGATGCCGCGCGTCGACGCGGAGGTGCTGTGGAGCCCGGGCGGGCTGCTGCTGGAGGGGGAGTTGGAGGTCGGCTGGGCTGGACCCTGTGATATTGGCGTTGCAGTTTTTGTTCACAGGGGGCATGGCTGCTCGCCCGGCTCCGGGCCCGGGGGCCCTCACAGATCGATCTGTTTCGGAAAATGACGCAGGTCCATCGGCTCCAAGGCTCCCGTGGCAATGT